ACAAATCGATCAGTCATTTCGAGTATTTCATTTACAATATACTATTACAATTACATACAAAATTACACGTGTGCTATAGTCAAAAAGATATTATGACGCATAATATTGGTTAATTTATCTGTGAATCAAAATTATGGTTTTTTAACTCCAAAATAAGTAAACTAGTAATAAGAAAAATTCATTTAACTGATTATTGCATTAAAAACGTATCGAAGTGAAGATAGTAATCTTTAAGGTATTTATCAAAATTTAATTTTGCTAACCAGTTTAGTTTGTCATAAACTAATAAATGTAATTCTATTATAGTGATAGCTAAACGATCAGAATGGGTAACTTGTAGTGAGAAGCATTTGGTATAGTTTATAAATAAGCGTAACTTTGTATGATGAAGTAACGTAACTTACTATCAATATATCACTAGGATTATCTAATAGATTCAGTATAGCATTTCAGTATTCAGCATAGCATATTTTACAAATGTTAATAAATAAATGCTAGATTCGGTTGATGTGCATCATTGTCCTGAAAATAATTTCGTTGATTAAATATCATAAAATAAGGTGTGTAATTTAAAAGATAATTGAACAATTTCTCTTTTACTCATTAATCGTATATATATATATATGCAAAGTTTGTTGTATTTTCAATTTAATTAAATTTAAAATTATTCCGTAAATACTAAGATTTTACGAAAAGTTTTAAGAAATATACGCATATATATGTTAAATTTTCCATAACATCAACATTTTCATCATACTATTCTAATCCATCATTCAGTCAATGTGCACAAATTAGACTATCAATCCTTTTTCCCTTTTATCAAAGCTAAATTTTATTTGTGAATGTAAACATTTAAAGTTTGATTATATCGAGTTTGAAATAAAACTCGGCAAAGTTTTATTTTCATTTGATTAATTGAATTGTTGACTGATAATTTCAGAATTAAAAAGAAATCAAAAAAAGAAAAAAGAAAAAAATCCCTTGTTTTTCTTGTTTTTTGTTTTTTGAAATTTTATTTATCTTTTTTTTAAAATTTTATTTTATTTCTCGATTTTTAATGAATAATTTTTCTTTTTTTTTAAATAAATGAAAATATGAATTGCAATTCAAATATGAGCAATGTAACATAAAAGTAGAAATTGGAGAAGTTTCGAATATCGTTGAAAATTGTTTGTATGTGTGTATATATGTATGTGTGTGTGTGTGTGTATGTGTATGTGTGTGTGTGTATGTGTATGTGTGTGTGTGTGTGTATGTGTGTATGTGTGTGCATTCAGCTATCAATTCATCATAACACTTAGCAAAAGCAAAGCAAGCATTAAGGATGATCACTACAACAGACCGGATCAGCGTTTCATACTAGCTTGTAAAGCTTTTAAACAGAGTTAGCTCTACACATGGGGTTGCTTCATCGTCCTCTTTTCACTTTTTCAACCCTTGCTTTGTCATATTACTAATATGATTCATTTCTTTTCCATTATTCTTTTATTATTTCATATTTATTTAATCATACATTTGTTAATTATAATTTCACCTTTATTTTAATACCAATTATTATTGGTTAAATTTATTCTAAAAAAAAAGTATACAATGTATAAATGAATATTATAAAATATTTATTTTGATAGCATTTTAAACATTTCCTTTCAAAAATTAAGTTAAAATTCTATTTTTAATTTGTTTCAATATATTTTTAACAATTCAACAGAGAAAAAAAGAGAGAGGGAGAGAGGAAGAGAGAGAGAGAGAAAAGTAGAGATTGATTAAAGTGGAACAGACTGGAGATCATAGCTGCTGTTATAATTTCCTACTGCATGAGACATTATCAAGTGATATGGACGATGATATCAGTATAGCATGCTGTAGTAGTGAGGTACCATCACTGAAATTCATCTCTACACGATGTATTGCTCTTGCACTATTTCAGGTTAATTTCAAAATTTTTATTTTTGTTGAATGATTAAAATGTCAGGAAAAATGAATGTAAACACTTTTTTTTTTTTTTTTTAGTCTCAAGCATTGAAAGTATTTTCATTTTGAATCTTGTTTTTAGACTAATGTTCATTGGAGAAAGTTGGATGAAGTGATTCAAATTATTCAAAATTGGCTTTGTAAAACAAATTTGCCAGCATTAATTAAAAAACAGTTGCAATCAGGATTACATGATGTTTACCGTGAAATTGAACGTTGGAGTAAAGCATTATTTGTCTAATTATTTATTATTTATTGTTTACTATTTATTATTAC